AAAAACAAGGTCAAATCAAATTAATGTTAGTACTTCAAATATGAAGCGCCCACCTTCCTACCGCTCCTGATAAAGTGCAAGACCTATTTTTTGTTTATTTTAAAAACACTCTAAGTTTACAAATAAAATGAAAATTATTGGCAATTTTAGACAAGAGTCAATAAAGGGCAGGTGGATTAGAAGACGGAAAGTTAATACCCACTAAGACAATTGCCTGACTAAGCCCGCTCTACAGCCCAGCTGGTGGTCCATACAGGAGCTGAGTGGACATCGAGAAAATGAATGCGCCAATCGCAAGCCCCAACCAACAAGCACATTCAAACCTTTTAAAAGAATGAACAAATAAAGCCATTTAGATGAGTTTCATTATACGTTGTAAATGGGTACTTGAAGTTTTCATAAGGCCTGCCTCATTTGTTGTTGTTATGATGCGAAAGTGAATTACAACCATAGCTTGCAAAAAAATGATGACTCTTACAATCATGCTGCTCAGCCAGAATCGCACATTGGAGTGTACTACGAAATGATAACAAATGTTTGCTCAGTGGAATCAATCAAGGCTGACAACAAAGATTGAACACTGAGAGTGAGCATATGGCAGCTCACAAATGAAACCACTTGAACCGCCAACAAAGGCTGAGTTTGGAAAACATAAATTGACTCCGCAATAGCTAGACCCTTGGTAAGGAGAATAATTGACTAGGACACTCCAAGAAGGCCGAAAAAGAAAACAGTATTCCAACTTTCATCGCCTTAGAGCCTCCTTACAAGTATACCATCTCCCACCACCAACAGGTTATCAGTAAAAGGGCAATAAAGATAAGTTTGGTGCGCGTTTTTACGCGTGAAAATGTGACTCCAAAAGCAGATCTTCATGATCAAGGATCTAGTATAATATTTGTCTATAAGAGGTCAAGGAACAGCAAACCTGTGGATCCTTGACAGCCGGGAAGGGAATCCCAACAGCAATCACAAGTCGGGCGTAGTCATCAGCGAAATCCAGTCCCTCGCTGATTTTGCCGCGGCATACAGCCAGAGCGAGGGCACCAGTCATCCCACTCGGAGATGAGCTACGCATCGAGTCGACAGTATCGTGAAACTTCGCCACCCAGTCGTCAAAATTATCTGAAGACCGGGGCTCAGTGAAAACACATTTCACTTTCTCCAACTTTCCCAGCAGTCCTGTCAACTACCGACGGGTACAAAAGATGCACGATTTACCGTACATAATACAACTGAATGAATTCCAATAAAAGCTGCTAAATAATTAGGATTCCTCCCAATCCTTGGGAGTCAATTCCGGTACAAATGCATGACCGCAAACGGTTGAGGTAAAGTCAAATTCTTTTTATGATAGTGTACCAGATACAGCAGTGCTCATGTGCTAAAATATAGAACAAATACAAATTACACTGCTTTTCTGTGTTAACTCGCAGACTGATAATGATGATGCATTGTAGTACTATGTCATACGTAGATTAGAAGATTTCAAGTAAATTCATTAGAAATACAGAGCTAACGAAGTGATAACTGCAATCCACTGGTATTTACTGGTGGCATTCGAATCAACTGGTGCATTAAACTCATTGCAGAAAGAAGACACCACCAAAACAATTTATCGTAGCTATTCACAGATGAATAAAACGCGACAATTCAGTGAGAGAATAACGATAGACTCTGACAGCATTAAGCTGATCTCACCTTCAAAGTCAGCTAATTCCAAGAACTTTAAGGAAGGTCTTGAAACACGAGAATTATCAAATAAATGAGGATGAAACTACATCTGATTTGGCTCAAACGATAACAATAGTTGAAAATGGCTTTAAACTGATAAACTACTGAACGTGACTTAGCAATAACTTCATCCATGGCGTAAATGGAGCAGAGAAAGACAAATTATTAACAAATTAAGAAAAAGAACATTATTTAGCGTACCTCCCAACGGGCACTCATCTTATCAAGAAGACTGTATGAGGGGAAGAAACAGAGCACTCCACCAGGCACGCGTTGACAGGCCTCCAGGAGGAGGTAACCAACCTCGTCCTGGAAGGCAAAGGTGTTCTGATGCTCAAAAGTGGCACAGAGACGTCCACCTCGGGGACCACGAGCGACACAAGTGGCAAAGACGCGTTCACGGGACACCACATGACCCGCCTCTAGGCGCAAAGGGAAGTCGACGCCAAGTTCCGCCACCAACGCATCCAGTGGAGCTAACGTGCCACTAGCAAGGATGAGACTGTGTGCGTTCTTTGCAAGGCTCTGCATGCACACCGCTGGATTGAGACACCAGAAGTTCAGGCTCAAACTCTTCCGCTCCACTAGTCGCGTCTGTCCCCAATCATACAAAACGACACAAAAGAGGGGGAAGGAAAATGGCGCAATCGTGTTTATTATCACTGCAGGAGATGTAGCACTCTTCAGCAATCCACTTTCCTTTATCTCAGTCTTCCTGAGCTGACAACTCTAGTTACGGTTACGAAACCTCATTTAAAACAGTTAAGCCTCCTCAATACCTCCTGCAACTGGCAAA